AAAATATATTAGATAATTGTCGGACTTAATCCATTTCATTATATATATATATATATATATATATATATATATATATATATATATATATATATATAAGATAAAAGGAAAACTTTTTCGAGAAAGTGTTTCGTCCTAAATATATTTGTGTGTATGTCTGTGTGCGTGCGTGTGTGTGTTAAAATTAAGCTAATTTCCTATGGAACTCATTTTACATCCGTCTTGATGTTCGCCATGGCTTGTAAACGACATACTATAATTGATTGTCTGAAAAAGCAATAAAGAGAGCTTTAAAAGAGATCAAAAACTTTTAAGATTTCTCTTAATTTGTGCAATGAAAAGAACCATTGAATCAATCTTAGTTACTGTAACGACTGTCTTCACCGAAGCCTTGGAAGCGAAATATTAATATTAAAAAAGAAGAATTTTAATAATCTTTATATATATATATATATATATATATATATATATATATATATATATATATATTGCTTTCACGTTAAATCCGGATATTAGTTTGAAAATATCCGCGTTTGACTATTTTTCTTCAACTGCTCCAATCCAATGGAAGAAAAAAAAAATAACAAAACACGAAGAAATGCTTTTTGGGGGCGTCTTTTATAGACGACTGTAGAAATTGAATGACATGGAAAATGCTGAATGGAGCTCAAATTGAGATGACAGCCGATCTAAAATCCTTTTATTCATAATTTCAGGTGCGATCATTAGTTTTAAAATGCCAAATCCTGCCTCTTGACAAATGACAACGTTTTAAAGGGAACGTCCGCTTGTAACCACTTACGTTCAGGAAATCAGAAGATTCGTTGTATGAATCAAGAGATTCGTATAATCACTTCGCAGACTAAAAAATTATATCAAAGAGTAAAAAAAAAATAAAAAAAAAATAGACGTGTCTTGACTTTTTCATTTCTTTCCTCTTCTTTAAGTTTATTAACTCCTTAAGGAATTTTATTTATTTATTTTCATACTTGTTTTAATATGGAACCATTTTAAAAAAAATTATATATGTACAGGGTGCGATGGATAAATTGTCGTCGAAATTACGCGAATATGAAAATAACACTGACAACTCACTTTAACAGATATATTTACCAAAATTACGCAAAAATATCTTGAAATACTAAAGAATAAATTTATTCAATAAACTCGCCATCGACTTCAACGATGGCCTCCAGACGACTTCAGAATCTCCTGCAATTCTTCTGAACGGTCTCAGTGTTTAAGTTAGTGAATGATGCTAAAATACTTGCCTTCACTTCATCTTTGATGTTACAAGGAGTTTTGTTGGACTCTCGCTCAAATGGGCCCCATACATAGTAATCAGTGGGGTTGCAGTCTGGGGAGATATGTGACCATATGTAAGGGGTGATGTGGTTGCAGAAATTGTCTGACAGTCATGAATAGGTTCTCCTGCTTGTGTGGCATGGTGCAGTGTCTTGTTGCCGGACATAGGATGTTCCAGCAGCAACCCTTTTGACCCAGGGCAGCACTACCTCATCAAGGCACTTGATCTAGGCCTACGTGTTGATTCTGAGGCCCTCAGCAACAAATTCTGGAGTTCTTTTCTCATCAGAACGATCAGAATGAATTTTCCGAGCTGCCATATCTTCGTAATCACCATTAGACTCATCCATCTCTTTCCGAATCCCCTGCACTGTCCTCAGATTGACACTCAAACACTCTGAAATGTTCGTATTGGAGCTTCCCGTGTGAATGCCAAGCAGTAGAGCATGCCATTTCCAAATTTCTGGCTGAGTTAATTGCATCACGTCGCAGACGGTGCCAACTGAACCTACTATAGTGTGTAGTCGAAAAAAATCAAAAACAAACAACGCGCATGCGCGAAATTAAAAATATAAAGTGGCTACAATTTATCCATCGCACCCTGTTCAGTATGTTGGTTCTCTTGATTACTGACGGCTCTGTAATAGTGTATTAAATAAGAGTAAGTTTTCTATTGCTTTTCAATCAATTTGAGATATTAATATCTTCTGTTGGTAAAGCTGAATGTTTCGCCTGTAAATTCTTTTTAAACTCAACTCTTGACTGAAGTATCCTTGTCTAACATTCCTCTTAGAACTGAATCTCTGTTGAGTGATATGCATCTATGGTCTCTGCTATCATCTCTAATCTAGATCCCCACAAGGCATGTGGAACCCATGCTATACCTGTAATAGCCCTTAAGAAATGGGCTCCTGAACTGGGTCCTGTTTTCTCAAATTTTCTGTATAATAAATACCTCGCTGCCTGTTGCTTTCCTGCTTGTTGGAAATTAATCTGTTGTTCCAGTTTTGAAGAACTCAGGTGAACCGTCAGACCTTTCCAACTATCATCTTATTAGCCTTCTATTTTAGTTTGGTAAATGTTACGATAAATTGCATCCGGCAGCAAGGACTCTGAAGTCTTTCATAAAGTAATCTTTTACTTGAGGAAGATTAACTGATTTAAAGTTTAAATAATATTTTTTTAAAGCATTTCACCCCAAGTAAGGCGGGATGCCACTAGAACGCAAGGGATTACAGACAGTGAAAGGGTGGGCCCGAGATGCCAGCCTAGTAGCACGTTTAAATTCATGCAATCTGGGAATTAGCTAAAATAGCTCGTCGGGGCAGTTACAGTGAAAGTATTTGTAGAAAAGACAGAGGAAGGCGAGGGTACGGCTGTGAGAGAGCGACTGTAGACGAGATGTCAGATCAGGGCCAATCACATTACACACACACACACACACACATATATATATATATATGTATATGTGTGTGTTAGCATTTCACCCCAAGCAAGGCAGAGAGTGGGAGCGAGAGTAAAGAGGCGTGATAGAGGAAAGGATGAAGAGAAGGACATGGAATAGATCAGGGCACCTGGAGATGTAGATTGACGTTACATTTGAATATTTGGAGATTATAACTATCAGAGAAACGAGTAATAGGAAGGGAATTCCACATACAGGAGGTGCGATACATGAAGCAATTGGAGTAGAAGAGATGGCCATATTTAACCGTTTCGACAATGAAAGGGTGGGAGCGTGATGCCAGACTAGTAGCACGTTTAAATTCATGCAGTCTAGGAACTAGCAAAAGTAGCTTGTCGGAGCAGTTACTGTGAAAATATTTGTAGAAAAGACAGTGAGAGGCGACTACACGTTTGTGAGACAGCGACTGAAGACGAGATGCCAGATCAGGACCAATCACATTGCATATCTGTCTCTAGATTTTGTCGAGGACCGGAAAAGCGGGGATACCAGACCATATATGGCAGTAGTATTCCATGCAAGGGCGAATGGTTGATTTATAGATTTGAAGGATGGACCTTCTGCTCCGATACAGGGAACAAACTTTTCTTGCGGTGGATGAAGCAATTGATTCATTGTAATTGTTCCATCTCAGGTCAGTGGACCGAGCAGTCACAAAGAGGTGCTCTCGGGGAGTTGAGCGTCAGACATTTTAATGGGTGGCAGGGATGGTTCCTGAGGTAAGCAATAGAGAACAGTTTTGTTTTAGATCATTAAAGTTAGGCAGCCAATTCCTGCCCCAGTCCACAACCGATTGGAGGTCCTTTTCGAGACTAACGGCCAGGTTAGTTTTGTCAGCGATACCAGACTAGCATATGAATATGAATTAAAATAAATATTACATAATTTTAGTTTAAAATATCGCAGAAAAGCATTTTTTATATGGAGTTGCGTGTTTTTATGACCTCACTTTCTTATCTTGATAGAGCTCAAAAGTGTCTTTCAGTCGTCGTGAGAGAAGAATTATTTTCCACACTCCAACCTTTCTCTCTCTCTGTACTCTTTTTGAGTATGTACACATCTACTTATCATCTCTCAGTTGCGTCTCTGTCTTTGGACAGAGTGCGTTCAGGGTCTTCTCTGTCAAAGGACAGAGGGGCAACTGAGGAAAATAATACTGAAGAGGTGCTCATACCTGGAGCACAGCTGCCTGAGGCCGCGCCCTCCCATTGCACCAGAGGGAGGGATTGGTGCTCGCACCGAGGCCAGCGCAACCGACAGTTGCGGGGTCTGAGGGCAATTTTTGTTCCTGTCCCGGGTGTACGTGCTCGAGTCCCTACCTAAAAATATACCTCGTGTCACATCTCGTCCTAGTGGGGGGACAGACTTACTATGAAGTATAGTTGGGACCTTTTAGGTTCAGAATTCGTGGAATAATTGAGCTCCAATTTCGCATTTATTCATATAGATAGAAGAAGAAGGCGCTATTTTTAATTTCGGTTACTTTTTAGAGATTCCTGCTAATTATTATTGGTGTGTAAACTAAATGAGCAAAAATATACGAAGAATTTGGACAGAACATAAAAAATGAATGTAGTACAGGCTTTTTTGTTACTACCATTCGTGAGTAGTATCCTTTGTGAGCCATCATGGAAACTGAAAGCTAATGACTACTTTGAAAGATAGAAAGTAATGGAGAGCCATTACTACCAATGCTCTAATGGGACACAGCAAAAAGAAGAAGGAGGGGCAAAAGGAAGAGGAGGATGGGACTGTCATACCTGAAGGATGTGATTTTTTAAAAAAGAAAAAGGAAGGAAAGGGCAGTCGCATTTTCACAAACAGTGAGACGATCGCATAGTTGACAGGCTCATTCAATGTCGCCTCACTAGCAAGAGAATAACTCCATAAGATAAATTCTGTTTACGTGTGCGCAGTAAAGACGTATTTGATTGGTTGCCGAGTTACATTAAAGCAGGCGTCTGGTTCTGGAGATATTCAAAATGGCTGTATAATTTTGGGACAGACGTAATTTGTCACGAATTGAACATTTTCTGCTATATTTATTGACACACAATCGCAGACTGTTTTCTCCTCCCTTCTCTTTTGTGCATATGTATATGTGTGCGCATGTGTCATACGTGTAAGCTTGTATTATTGGGAAGGTTCGCATCATTTTCATGAATCATTGCTTTATAATTTGTTAATTTAGACTAAAATATTTATGTTTGATTAATTCTGCAGACAAAATGACGAGCGTCGGCAGCGGCGGAGAAGGAGGAACAGGAGAGAGAGAGAGAGAGAGAGAGAGAGAGAGAGAGAGAGAGAGAGAGAGAGAGAATGCAGATAGGAAAATTGTTTCTAAACGGGATGGGCCTGTCTATCTGCTCAGTACTTTAAATCCTACGTTAGAAAAACTACTGGTGCCAGTGGGAACTGCGCAACTATTTCGGCCACCAGGTTCAAATTCTAACCGAAAATGAAGGATGTTGTTTTAAAGTGGGTCATTTCCGCTTGAAAAAGAGAGAAAATGAAATATTGTAAGAGGGCAAAAGAAATTCGAAAGAGAGAAAGAAAGAAAATGATAAAAAAAATGATAGTGAGAATGAGAAAGAAAGCAAGCAAGAAAGACACGCAGTAAAAGTGAGAAATACTGTGTAAAGAGATTCTAGGAAGAGAGTGGAAAGAGAGAAAAAGAGAAAGCGTATTAGAAAGCAAGAAAGAAAAAAGAGAGGAAGAAAGAAAGGCAGAGAGAAGCAAATGAAAGGAAAAAGAATTGAAATAAAGGAGAAAAGGAAGTAAAAAGAAAAACAAGGATGGACATAAAAGAAAGAAAGAGAGAAAGAAAGAATGAATGAATGAAAGAAATTAGAGTAAAGTTAGAAAGAGTAAGAAATGTTTGTTAAACGAGATGAAAGCAATTCCAAGAAGTCGGGAGGGGGGGATAAGAGGGTGAGAATGAGAGAAAAGTGTGGAGAAGAAATACAAAAAAATCAAAAAAAAACGTTAATCCATCTTATAGTTGACTACGTGCCATGGTGGTGGAAAGAATCTGGAAAAGGAATGAAAAAGTGACTATATAGATTATGCTCCATGACATCGACGCTTCCATGAAAGCCGGATATTCGATGTACGCGATACAGGTTCACATCTCATCGGAAGATATTTCTTTATTCCCAGTTTTATACTATTTAGCGATCAAAGAATTAAATAAATTTAAAAAGCAAAACGATAAGCAGTAGCTTGGAAAATTACAGCGTTTTGTTATTCCATTTTCTGACGAACCATAATTCTTAAACTAATGTTCGTGTAAGGATACTGAAGGTGTTTATTTCCGTTTGATGGAGATAAGTCCCGTGGGTCACATGACAGCTGCTTAGTGACGTCACGCCATATAGTGACGAAAGCGGCAGTCAAATTCAGTTTGTTTACAGCAACGAAACCGAAAGATTGCTTTCATTAGCTCACCCCGCTCCATGGCCAGGACAGAGGCTAAATCTACCTCCCCAGCAGCTTACAAGTGCGTGATGTTTCCCTTTGGGAATATATCTTTTCCAGATATAGAAAGAAACTCAAGCTCGCTGTTTCTCGTCTCGACATGAATCCAGTCTGTTTGAATCTGAAGTCCTAAACATGGCTTCTCCAGACACAGGTGTATCTCCATATTATATGCAAGACACTTCCTTTTGCTTTCTCCTTACATTCAGCATTGCTATGTAGATATATATGATATATTGTTTTCTGCATTACAAACATTAACAACCCTCTGTAAGATACAAGATAAAGTAAAATACAAGGTAAAATTCAAACTAAAATTAACATTAAAATTTAAACTAAAATTCAAAATGTCAGATGTCTCTGAGAGCCGCTTAATATATACTTTAAAAATAAAATTAAATAGCTTCCTTTTAGTTTTAGAGAATAATAATAAAAATATACCATATATTTAGAACTTATGTAAATCTAGTTTTATGGATAATGTCAAGTTCGTAAGTAACTTTCTTATTATGTAATAAGAGAGAGAAAACAGAATTTCAATAAGGTTGACCAAAAAATTAAAACGAAAGTGTCACTCTACACAGACATCCTTGAAAAAACGCTTATAAAAGGACCTTTATAATAGCCCACTTTTAGAAAAGTAGTTAAAATTGCAGGTTTTCTAGTGATCACGTGTCTTGTATAAGACAAATAAATATCATATAAAACTGTAATTTAATATTCGCTTTCAAGCAATACTTGTTGCTGAATATGATTTTAATATGTAACTTTTGTTTGAAGTTCTTTTATCGAATGGAATTTTTCGTATTTGAAACGAATACTGCTACTGCTCCAGGGGGACGAAAGACACGCCCCAAAGTTTTTTTGTTTTGCTGTTATTGTGAAGAGGTTTGTTTAGAGATAAAATGAAATAGAAAAAAGTGTTGAATGTTAATTTTAAATAAAATTAGTATTCAACACTTCTTTTACTTTCATTTTAGCAAAGTGATGACTAAAATAGTAACATTCAATCAAGATTCGTTAGTAAATATTATTAAAAAAGTTATGTAATTAAAATTATGTAATAAAAAAGAAAGGTAAAATCATATAACAATAATTTAAAGGGTAAATAAAAAATAATACAATAGACTAGATTTGTCTATATTTCTGAGATGAGGTATTATGTACACTATTTATATTATTCGGACTATTGTCCTCATCTTTGTCGCCATGTTTATTACAACGTTTCAGCCGGTGGTTGAAATGTCGAACTGAACCCTTTATTTCGGTCGCTGGGTTAGACTGTTGTAGTTCTACGTGCCATGTCTAATGGATGTCAGTTATCCCTTATCTCCTGTTAATTCCCCTCTGCAAGTTCTCCGCCGCCTTAACCAGGCATTGAACTTAAACTCTTTGGGTCTTGTCAATTGGACCAAACTAACGCCTTTATCCACTGTGCCATGTGTCCTTGAGGAGATAGTGTAGTCTTTTTCCTTTCAGTCATTTTGTTCCGTCCATGAAATACGGTGTTATGTCATGGATATAATAATGCTCATAGTGGGGGAAATACAAATGATAGAATAAATTTTTCTTTCATATTTCTCCTCTCGTCACAAATGAATAAACACATTGCGAGTTTCACAAATATAACTTATGCGCGAAAATTTCAGAGTCAAATATTTGAGCTTAACAACTTTAACAAAATATTGCAATACAAGTATGAATGATTAAACAAGAAACAACTAGGAAAACCTTTATAAATTTGACGTTTCACTATTTATTTTAGCTTCATCAATAATTTCGGGAACGAGAATGATACAGCCTGGACATGTGTCGATATTTTTTTTAACTCTATGTTGTTTGTTTTCATTGGTTGGGTAGATGTCACGTGTTAATTTTTTTTTTTTTTTTGTGGCGTTAGTATGCGGGGCCGGTGCAAAGCTTTTGTACCCACCTCCCCGGATTTATGATACGGGGCCCCCACTCTTCTACATCTCAATTTGCATAAGGTACTATTCATATAAAATACAAATTTTATCGTAACCTAATTATGTACAATAATGGATCATATGTAATATAGGTAAAGAATTCAACTAGAAAAATTGAAAATAAACACAAAGAGACCTGTCATAATAGATCATTCCATCTTAAATAAATCAACAATGTTTTGCGGCAATTTTTAACATCAACTTGAGTTTCTTCTTGTTAAAGAGTTGAATAGTTTTAATACATTCAACATTATGGATTAAAAAATAGTCAATTTTATATAGTATTTTTCTCAAGACTTATGATGAGCAAAACAAATTCATGGATTTGTACAAAAATGAATCCCTCCTAATGACGTCATAACCCGCGAAATTTCTTCACCCTTTAATAGTCAGTTGTGCTTAGTTTAATTTGTAACTTATATAAATGTAGGTAGAAAAAAAGCAAATGTTGATAAGATAGTGAGGGTACAAAAGCACTGCCCGGGCCTGAAGTCAGGCTTGCCCCACCCCTGGTACGCACCGGGCCTGTTAGTATGGATGTATTTATATCTTATTAAAGAAGTAAGACGGTACAAATGAAAGGATTCAAAACAGGGTGTTTTAGCATCTGTCTATATTTTTGAGATGAGGTATTATGTACACTATTTACATTATTCGGACTATTGTCGATATCTTTGTTGCAATATGAGCTCTGGTAAAAAAAAATGCAATGATAACAGCAAAAATTGCAATATGAGCACTGGTAAAAATAGTTGCTGAAGACATTAAGTTTATAATACCCAGAGATTCATACACCGATGTCGACAAGGACACAGTGGATAGAGGCGTTAGTTAAATCCAGTGAATGAACCCAAAGAGTGTGAGTTCAATACCCGGTTAAGGCAGTGGATAACTTGGAGAGGAGAATTAACAGGAGATAATTGATAACTGACATCCATTAGATATGGCACGTGGAACTAGAACAGTCTACCCCAGTGAGCGAAATAAAGGGTTCAGTTCGACATTCCAACCACCTGAAGAAGGCCGGCTGAAACGTTGTAATAAACATGGCGACAAAGATGAGGACAATAGACCGAATAATGTAAATAGTGTAGATAATGTTTTTTATTTCGCTGATGTAGACGTTAAACACACCAAAGCGTTATCGCCTTCTCTATCTATTAAATTGTATTTTTCTCAGTAAAACAGCATCTCTGATATACTTTTTTCTTCCGTCTTTTCTCACGATCAAAACGGGTGTGGTCCATTATTTATCTGAGACAATGGCAGGGAGTAATGCACGTGTTAACTAACGGAAGAATAAACAGGATTATAATACGAGAATGAAAATTAACTTTGAAGTTTTGTTCACTTTTTAGTAACAATATGAATTATTAGATAGGCATGAAACTTGTTTTCCCTGCTCTCCAGCGTAATCTAATTGTACAAGCATGACGCAATTATTGAAGAGAGATTGAAAAAAGTCCAGTCTTTTTTTCTCTGGCTTGGTACATCTGTCTATCATTTGTTACTATTGTCTGGGTGATGGCGATTATCCGTGCAGATCACCCCGACCGTGATAAGAAGTCCATATACTAATTAAGTAAGTATTGATTTCCATTAAATGACTAAAGACTAAACACATAAAAGAAAGATCATATGAAAATATAAATATTTTGATCAACTTTTAGCTTTGTAACAGTAAATTAAAAATAAATATTTATCCAAAATTATAATTTATTAAAAGGACAGACGGATTGACTGCTAACAGCTGAAATTAAACTAGTGAAAATGTTTCTGTCGTTGCGAAAATTCTACCAGGCAAAAATACGTATTTAAACAGGACAAATGTACGTATTTAAGCAGAACAACAGTATGAGTTTAAGTAGGACAAAAGTACGTATTTAGGTAGGATAAAAGTATTTATCTAAGGAGAACAAAAGTATTTATCTAAGGAGGACAAAAGTACATATTTCAGTAGGACGTATTCAAGTAGAGCAAAAGTATGTATTTAAGTAGGACAAATGTACATATGCAAGCAGACCAAATGTAAGTATTTAAGAAGGACAAAAGTACCTACTTAAGTAGAATATTTATGTAGAATAAATGTACGTATTTTACTAGGAAAAAGGTACATTTTCCTAGTAAAAAAGTATTTAAGTAGGAAAAAGTTCGTATTTAAGTAGGACAAAAGTAGGTATCTAAGCAGGACAAAAATACGTATTTCAGTAGGAAAAAAAAGTTCGTATCTAAGGAGGACAAAAATACGCATTTCAGTAGGACAAAATACGTTATCTAAAGAGGACAAAAGTATGTATTTCAGTAGGATAAATACGTATCTAAAGAGGACAAAAGTATGTATTTCAGTAGGATAAATACGTATCTAAAGAGGACAAAAGTATGTATTTCAGTAGGATAAATACGTATCTAAAGAGGACAAAAGTATGTATTTCAGTAGGATAAATACGTATCTAAAGAGGACAAAAATATGTATTTCAGTAGGATAAAAGTACGTATCTAAAGAGGACAAAAATAAGTATTTCAGTAGGACAAAATACGTTATCTAAAGAGGACAAAAGTATGTATTTCAGTAGGATAAAAATACGTATCTAAGAAGGACAAAAATATGTCTTTCAGTAGGATAAAAATAC